CTAAATCTTGTTAATTGCTTTCCCTATTTTATTATCAGTTTCACGGAACCAACTTTTGGGATTGTGGAATTTTCTCACTGTATCTTTGTTTTCTATTTTATTGATTTTTACTCTCATTTTCTCAGCACCTTCCTTCTACTTGTTTTGGTTTATTCTGATGATCTTTGATAAATTTTTAAGCTGGATACTTACCTTCTTAGTGTATGTATTTTCATTCTCTATAAAACATAGTTAGGGATAAATTTCTCTCAGAATTTCATTTTTATTCCCTTCCACAAATTTTGATATATATTATTTGAATATCATTCAGTTGTGGATATTGTTAAAACAACATTGTGATTTCTTCTTTGAATCTTAAATTATTTGGGATTAAAAATTCCAAAGGTATGAAGATTTTAAACATCTTTCATAATTAAATTCTAAGTAGATGCTTTTTGGTCAGAATACATGGTTTTATGATATTTATTTTTAAAATTTGTTGAGACTTGATCTGTGGCCTGTATACAATGAATTTTTGTAAATGTTTTCCGTGTGCTTAAGAATAAATGTATATTTTTAGCCGGGTGGCTCATGCCTGTAATCCCAGCACTTTGGGAGCCTGAGGTGGGTGGATCACAAGGTCAAGAGTTCAAGACCAGCCTGGCCAATATGGTGAAACCCCGTCTCTACTAAAAATATAAAAATTACCTGGGCATGGTGGTTGGTGGCAGGTACCTGTAGTCCCAGTTACTCAGGAGGCTGAGGCAGGAGGATCGCTTGAACCCAGGAGGCAGAAGTTGCAGTGAGCCAAGATCGCACGCGCCACTGCACTCCAGCCTGGGTGACAATGTATATTTTTTATTTCTTAAACTAACAGGCCAGTGTGTTAATTGTAATGTTCAAACCCAAATCTTTAGACGTAGATAGATCTTCCCAACCTGTCAATACTTGAGAGAGGTGTGTTGAAATCTGACATTATGATAATGTATTTGTCAATTTCTTACTGTAGTTCTATCAATTGTGTTTCTTATATTTAATGTACTTTTAAATTAAAAGAATATATTTTAGAAAAGCATTATATCTTCTCAGTGAACTGAACATTTTATCAAACATAGTAATTCTCTTCTTTCTCTTCATAGTGATGCTTTTTGTTTTCTTTTTTTTCTTTCTTCTGCTTTTTTTTTAGACAGAGTCTTACTCTGTTACCCAGGCTGCAGTGCAGTGGCATGATCTTGGCTCACTGCAGCTTCCACCTCCTGGGTTCAAGCAATTCTCCTGCTTCAGCCTCCCGAGTAGCGGGGATTACAGGTGCCCACCACCACGCCCAGGTAATTTTTGTATTTTTAGTGGAGACAGGGTTTCATTATGTTGACCAGGCTGGTCTTAAACTCCTGGGCTCAAGTGATCTACCCACCTCATCCTCCCAAAGTGCTGGGATTACAGACATGAGCCACCGTGCCTGGCTCATAATGATGCTTTTTGCTTTAAAGTCTGTTGGACTGGATTTTTTTTTTTTTTTTTAGCCAGGGTCTCACTCTTTCATGCAGGCTGGAATGAACTGGCATATGGATCTTAATATAGCTACTCTAGTTTCTTATTGATTAGTTAGATGCCTGATACTTTTTCATTTTTTCCCAACATTTTATGTATGTATGCTCTAGCAGTGATTTTTGTAAACAGTATATAACCAGGTTTTAAAAAATCCAATTTGACATCCCTTGTTGAGTTTACTGGCATTTATTGTGGTTACTGACATATGTGAATTTCTTTCTACTATTTTACCTTTTACTTTCACTTAGTTCCACTTTTTCAATATTTAATTTTTCTCCTTTCTTACTTAGAAGCTTAATATCTTACCGGGCGCGGTGATGCACATCTGTAATTCCAGCTACTTGGGAGGGTGAGGTAGGAGGATTGCTTGAGCCCAGGAGTTTGAATCTAGTCTGAGCAACATAGCAAGACTCTCGTCTCAAAAAAAAAAAAAATTAATATCTCTGTCTTACATCTAACAAAAAGAACTTTGGTGTGCTTTTATATCTCTTGGCCTCTCTTCCTTCAACTTCTTACAATGTTGGTATTTTTTATAGATGTGCAGTTTTTGTTCTGTGTTACTATGAACATACTTAGCATTTTTCTATTATTTGATTTTTTAAAAAAACACACAACTACACATTTTGCTGAGGTATTTTGTTACCTTTCTATCTCATACTTATCATAGATTTTGTGTTTTTCTTTCTCTTTATCTCTTTGTATTTGAACTCTTCCTCCCAATGGGTTTTCAATTTGGGTTCCTCAAGGCCTCTGAAGACTTATATGCCTGGAAATATATTTTATCCCCTTACATTTGAATTTTATTTGGCAGGATATACATTCTAAAATTAAAGTGATTTTCCTTCTGTGCTTTAAACTTCACCCCACTGTTTCTTGCATTTAGTATTGCTGTCAAGAAATCTTACGCCGGCCAGGTCCGGTGGTTCACGCCTGTAATCCCAGCACTTTGGGAGGCCAAGGTGGGTGGATCTCTTGAGGTCAGGAGTTCCAGACCAGCCTGGCCAACATGGTGAAACCCCATCTCTACTAAAAATAAAAAATAGCCGGGCGTGGTGGTGGGCACCTTTAAGTCCAGCTACTCAGGAGGCTGAGGCAGGAGAATCACTTGAACCCAGGAGGCAGAGGCTGTAGTGAGCCAAGATCACGCCACTGCACTCCAGCCTGGGCGACAGAGCTAGACTCTGTCTCAAAAAAAAAAAACAAAAAAACAAAAAAAAACCCGACATCTTACATCATTCTTAATCTCACATATTTGTAGGTAATCCACTCATTTTCCTTGGAAACTTTTATAATTTTCTCTTTGGTTCTGATATTCTTAAGATTCACTATCCTGTATCTAGGCATGGGATGCCCTGCATCTTTTTTTCTTGCACTTCTGGGGCTCTTTCAGCTGAGATGTTTCATCTTTCTTCAACTCTGGAAATTTTATTTCCACTATGTTTTTTTCAAATATTTCTTCCTTTTCTATTTCTTTTCTTTCTTATTTGAAAACTATTATTATCTAAATGTTAAAGTGTTCTTTTTTTTTTTTTTTTGACAGTCTCACTCTGTTGCCCAGGCTGGAGTGCAGTGTCACAATCTCGGCTCACTGCAATCTCCGCCTCCTGGGTTCAAGTGAATCTCGTGCCTCCGCCTCGAGAAATGGTGCATGAAATCACACCACTGCACTCCAGCCTGGATGACAGAGTGAAACTCTGTCTCAAAAAGAAAATTTCTGAGCTACTGTTTGAAGACTCATATTGCTTTCAACATACTTTTCCACAGTGTGATGGGTAGGGATATGGGTGAAGGTGGGAGAGGAAAGAAATTGCTTCTTGTGTCTGGGTACCATCTTTGCTGGGGACTTAGGATCGGCTCCATTTTGTTTCTGTTTCTTGGAACCTGGGTCCAGGATCAGAATTGCTGTCTCTTTTCTGTTTTGCACATAAGATACCTTGTAACATATGCTGAAGGTATACATTTACTTCATCTATAATCTACTCCTCCTGCCTAGGCCAGGGTCTATGTCTGATTTCTCACATGGTACGTGCCCAGAACCTGAAAGAGAGGAGACAAGGCTGGGTTCGAATCCTGGCCTCACCATGTATTAGATGAATAACCCTGGGCAAGTTACTTAACCTCTCTCCACCTCAGTTTCCCTGTGTGTAAGGTGGGGATAATTAGGATATCTTTTATACTGTTGTGGGTTTTTTTGTGACGATTCAGTGTGATTAGTAAGTCCTCAATATGGTCTAATCAATCATAGTATTACAAAATTTTGAAAGAATGAGTGAATAGTTTAGTTCACAGGAAATGTATATGGACAGGTGGGGCCGGGATTTGAACCCAGCCCTGTCTGCCCTGTGCCAGGTCCTGGGTACGTACAGTGTGAGAAATCAGACATAGACCCTGACCTAACCAGCCTATGGTCTGCTAGGAGGAGTGGATTATAAAAGGATGAATTGATAAATGTTACATCAGCCCAACTTCCCCATGGGAACCATTTATTGTATTTTCCTCTTATTTTGGTGTTGAGGCCTCTTTCTGGGGATTGGCCATAAACTCTAGCCCTGCCTTGAATGGGAACCCCAGGGATTTGGCCATATGTTCACAGTGTAACTTTCACAAAATACTCCTTTATCCTGGCACACCGCCTACTGCCTAAGTGCCCGGCCTGTGACCAGCAGTCCCTCTCATAGCAAACTTGTTTATCCTGGCAGATGTCCTTGCAGCTCTCATATGACCTGTGTCCAGTTTATTCCTACCAAGACAGCTATTCTCTAGGAGAGCCCTGACCAGAAAAGAAGTCAGGTTCAGGTCTGTCGGGTGGGTGGGACACAGAGGAGACAGCACAACAAAACACATGAAATAACAGAGGCAGTTTATTACTCACAGGTCCCAGAGAGAAGACGGCACAGCAAGCCTTGAAGGGTGAATGGAAAGGAGGGAACTGACCAGGACACAAGTACTCATCCAGTGGGTAGGGAGCAAGAGAGAGACAGAGAAAGAGAGAGAGAGAGAGAGAGAGAGAGAGAGATAAGGATCCATGAGCCAAAGCCTTAATTAGAGTCCAGGGCATAACCCAAGCAGGTTTCCCACAGGGAGTTCTAACTGGGGGTTTAGAGCTAGCAGGCAGGAGTTCTGTGGAGCCACACTGTGACTGAGATGTGGCTGCCGCAGTATATCTGTGCAGCCTATGAGGGATACAGGAGTCAGGAGGTAAGTCAAGAAGGTTGTAACTGTAAGTCCCATAGGGAGCTGGTCACAAGGAGGTGGTTGTATCAGGCAGACATCTGGATTAACCACCTTGGGGAACTGGGAGGAGGTGGAGAATTGGAAATTGTGCCCAGGTGACTAAGCCCTGCTTCTGGCATGAGACGGTCCAACTTAGGTTCAAAATAAATCCCAAGGCAACATATAAATATAAGAACTCATTATTCTATGCTGCCTCTTTATTCCTACTGTGACACCTTTCCTTCCCCTTTACTCAGGATTCCAGGAAGAAGCCCTGGCCAGACAGCCCCGGAGACCAAGCATCTCCTGCTGGGGATACCCCTCCCTTGGGAGAACAACAGGAGCTCCATTATGCCTCCCTCAGCTTTTCTGAGATGAAGTCGAGGGAGCCTAAGGACCAGGAGGCCCCAAGCACCACGGAGTACTCAGAGGTCAAGACAAACAAGTGAGGACTCCCCCAGAGCTCAGTCCTGGCCGGAGGAACCACATCCTGTCTGGGGGGAAGGACAAGTCAGGGACCACTTGCTGAAGCACAAAGAGCCCTTGTGACAATGTTAACATTAACTGATGTGTAAGTGCTCCAAGCAGAGCAGAAAGAAGATAGATGATGGAATTGGAGAAGTGGGCTCAAACCTAGGCCCTGGCACTGTCATCAAGCAATTCACTGCATCCCTCTGTGCCTCAGTTTCCCATTCTGTAAATCAGAGATCATGCATGTTACCTCAAAGGTTGTTGTGACCATTAAAGAAAGCAACACATGGAAATCAACCAACACAGGTCCTGGCACAGGGCATGTGCTCAGTGCTTGCTGGTTTCTCTTTCTTGAATAGGAAGGTCCTGTTGGCAAATTCTCTCAAGGCTGGGGATGACCGGGTACAAGAACCAGGGCAGCAATATGTTGGTGTCACTCCCCTTCCCAGAACTCTTCAAAGACTCCCTAGGAGAGACCAGCCCCTCAGCCTGACACTTGGTTCACGATGTGGGATCTTACATCCTTGCCAGGGTCATATCTTTGCCCACTTTTACCTGCAATCCTTGCATCATATTCCATCGGCTCCAGTCCTTCATTTTTGAGACCCACAGGAATCCTTCCAACAGCCAAAGAGTTGAATCTAACTCTTTCCTGCCCAAACCCATTCATGGCTCCCTGGCCTTAGACAATACATCACAAGCACCTCCCCTGTCACTTAAAGTCCTTCATGACCTCCCTGCTATCTATTTATTTATGCTTTCCTCTTGGCGAACCCTTCCTTAAGCCTTTCATGCTGGTTCATACAACACTTTCTTTGCAATTTGAGATTTCTCCTTCTGGAAGTCATGCCTCCTTGCTTTCATCTGGCTTACACTATCTTTTCCTCCAAACATGAGTTCATGGGTGGTCTTGGGTTGGAAGAGTGGACTGAAGAAAGAAATTATACTCTCCCTCCTCTAAAATTGAACTAATTAATTTTTTTTAAATGCTAAACCAAAAGCAGCTAAAAATTCGCTGGTTACTTATCTAGGTTTCTCCAAACCCAGATAAATGACGATGTTAGAAACTTTAGCAAGTGGCCATGAGGAAATGAATGGATAATTCCAGTGGAGTACTGGGAGGACACTGATTCTCAATATCTACCACCCAAACCCCGTTTTCATCACTGTAAAGAAGTTGAATTGTGACTACTGTTTTGGTTATGACAGGTTAGATAATTTTGATCAGGCCTTGTGTTGAAAATAATAAAATATTTTGGGGAAAAAATGAGAGTAGAAAAAGAATACTTCCCTTAAATAGTATAGAATGCCTGAAAATAAAATGGGAACTTAGTAGGCCAAAATTCTGGGGAAAGCCTGAGCCCAGAGAAGTAAGCAGAATCACTAAGCCAAAATTCCCAAGGGCATTTGCTCATATTGGAAAAGGGAGCTTTGGTTCTGTGGTCTTGCATGTGGCTCTGGAAATGAAGGTCAAATCTATGGCCCAGCGAAAGGTTGGAAATGTCAAAAGAGACCATCTCCACATTGGGTTTGTGTCAAGGTAAGGCTGAATCAAAGAAAACTGAAGACAAGGAAAAAAATCTGAACAGCTACCAGAGAAAAAGGATCGCCTTCAAAAGAAAAGCCATTTAATTGACAGCTGATTTATCAGTAGCAACCTGGAGAGTAGAAGAAGGCAAATACTATTTCTAACATCAATTTGTAATCTATACTCAGTAAAGTCAACTCAAAAATGAGAGCAATAATGATCTTTCAGAGCAAGTAAATGGGGGAACTTTAATAAAAACAAAAGATAATTTAGAATTCCTGACAAACACAACGGCTAAGGACCAAGGTAAGCGTATTTTACATGTCCTAATATCCATATATTATCCAGGAGGAGAGAGGTTTTCATTTACTAAAGACTTTGATAGGTTAATTACGCATGCTGTAAATTTGTATCATGATGGCTAAAAGAACAGAATCATAATATATAACTTTCAACCTAGTGATGATTAAAGGTATACTATTAAAAACTTAGTAAACCAGCCAGGTGCAGTAGCTCACACCTGTTAATCCCAGCACTTTGAGAGGCCGAGGTGGGGAGAATCACTTGAGCCCAGGAGTTCGAGATGGGCAGCATGGCAAAACACACCTCTACAAAAAAAATACAAAAAATTTAGCCAGGCATGGTAGCATATGCCTGTAGTCCCAGCTACTTGGGAGGCTGAGACAGGAGGATCACCTGAGCCCGGAAGGTGGAGACTGCAGTAAGCCGAGTGATAGAGTGAGACCTGTCTCAAGAAAACAAAAAACCAAACAACACAAAAAACTTAGTAAACAAACAAAAAATGGAGAAATAAAGTAATGTAGAATTGATGACACGTACAGAAAACAAAATATAACATGGGACATTTATGTTAAATATGATTGGATAAATGCTTCAGTTAAAAACAGAGTCCACTTTGATGGATTCCAAGTATATGATCTTTACAACATATACATGTAAAGTACAAGGATAGCAAAGGCTAAAAGGGAAAGTATAATATGCCGACATTAATACAAGGAAAGCTGGTGCAGTGCTATTGGGCTATACAAAATACACATTACCACATTGTTCCATTTGTGTGAATGTTTAAAGCAATTATTCTTGCTTAAGAATGTATACACAGGTATTATGCTTATGGGCAAAGGCAGGGAAAAAGATAATTCGAAATATCAGCAAGGTGGTAACTCATAGAGAAGGTTAGGGAGGGTGGGAAACAAAGAGGGTTTCTAAGATTCCTGGGGTGCCCGCATGTTCTATTTCTCAGCATAACAGATGATTACACAATGTGAATGGTAAGTATATTTTTGATAACACAAACATGGAAAAATATTGCAAGCTAGGAAATGTCTAATCTTCTGCTAGTCATCTTTTCTTAAAATTTTTGAAGAAAACAGTAATTTTCCTTATGGAGATTATGACAAAAAGTTAAGGAAAATTCATCCTTCTTATAAAAAATCTTGATAGATTTGACAACATCACAATGGAAACTATCACTAGGCTCAGTGGCTCATGCCTGTACTCCCATCACTTTGGGAGAGTGAGGTGGGAGGATCACTTGAGCCCAGGTGTTTGGAACGAGCCTGGCAACATAGTGAGACCCTGTCTCTATAAAAAGAAAAGAAAAAGTTAGTGGGCATGGAGGCACACGCTTGTGGACCTAGATACTTGGAAGGCTGAGATGGGAGGATCGCTTGAGTCCAGGAGTTCAAGAACAGCCTGGGCAACATAGTAAGATCCCATCTCCACGAAAAATAAACAAAAATGAGTTGGGCATGGTGGCAGGTGCCTGTGGTCCCAGCTACTGGGGAGGCTGAGATGGGAGGATCACTTGTGCCCTGGAGGTTGAGACTGCAGTAAGCTGAGATCATGACACTGCAGTCCAGCATGGGTGACAGAGTGAGACTTTGTCTCTCTCTCTCTCTCTATTTATATATATATACACACACACATATATACATGCACCAATAATGTGAGACCCCATGAAGTCGCTTATACGTCCAGTCTCTGTTTCCCACTCTGTCAAATGAGAATTATTAACCATACATCTCTTAGGTTGGTTATGAAGATTAAATGAGGTATATATAGAAAAGCACAGCCCTGAGTCTGGAACTTGGGGAGCTTCAGTGAATGTCCATCTCTTTCCTAAACCCTTATCCGAGAGGAGATCCAGGCAGGGACTTGCTACTTAAAGCGTGGTCCAAGAGCCAGCAACATCAGCATAATCTGGAACGTCAGAAAAATACCTTGTTCTTCCCTGCCCGTTAGCCAGGCCGGCACTACAATTCAAAAGAATGATCCTTAGGTCAACAAGAGGAGCGAGAGGAAAAGCACAGAGATAAGTCCCTTTCCCTGGCCTCTCCTTCCCAAAAGGGACCCAGCCTTTTCGAAGCCTTTCTGACTTAGGTGCCCCGCTGGCCTACAGCTCAGAACCGTGAGCTTGTGAATTTGTGTCCACGGCGGAGTTGGGAGTTTCCTGAACTCAGAGCACAGTTATGGTGCAGAACCATGGACAGCGCCAACCCTGGGTAGTAGTTCCCCAAATCCGGCATGGCGGATGGAGCGCCCCCTGGGGGCAGAACTCTGGCCTGTCTCCAATGCAGAGGTAAGAAGGTTGGAAAGTAGGGTTGGTTACATTCTGTGCTGCAGGACAGAGGTGGTCAGAGGACATCCAAACTCCTCCTCAGTCTTCTTCTGAAGTCCCCCTCATTTTAGGGAAGAGAAGACAACTTTAGAGAGATGGTGCATTTCTCACAGGCCACTGGGATACTTGCTTCTCTGAGCTGACTCTGCCCTCACTCCTTCCAGGAAACATTCTCTGTGGCAGGCTCCATTTCTTCCTCCCTTCGTTTTCCAGTGGGTCGATAATTTGGTCTTGCTTTGAATCCTTTATTTGTTCTGTCGTGGTGTTCTGAACAACAGAACATGATATGTGATCCTTTTCCATACCTGGCTCTGTGCCAAAACCCAAATCAGCTCAAATGAAGGAATGAAGTATCTATCAGAAGGCTGGTTGTGAAGTTATATTTGGAGCTGAGGGGTCACAGAAACAAATTCTAAGTTTTCCTTCATTCTACATGAATGGTAAGTATTTATACTGGGAAAAGGATCCTGGGGCCTCAGTGGACCACAGGATGCAGAGAGTTGTCATGAAGGGCAGAACAGGCAAGGCAATGTCAGGGTAAAATGGATGTTGGTTAAAGAGGGAGAGATTTGATAATTACTGTGTGTGAAGATGGGAGGCCCATAGGGCTGGAGGAACTGTTAAGAAGTCAAAACTCAACACTGAAGGTGTGAGTGAAGGGCTTATCAGAAACCTGAGAACAAGCAAGGAGACATACAAAAATTCAGTGACTTTTTGAACTCAAATTGACACCAGAAAAACCACAAATGTCACAGCCAAGTGTGAAGCTGGAGCCAGGCCCTCAGTTCTGAGTCATAGTCTCTGACAATGAAGGGCCCCCTTGCAGGTGAGTTTCAGTTCCACTTTCTTGTGACTTCTTGTGTGACTAGGACTGGGTGGAGGGGCAGAAGATTCAGTTTCAGGG